TTAAGGACGTGTTCGGGGCTGTTAAAGTTAAGGAAGTGTTCGGAACTGGTAAAGTTAAGGACGTGTTCGGGATTGTCAAAGTTAAGGACACGTTCGGAACTGTTAAAGTTAAGGACGTGTTCGGGGCTGTTAAAGTTAAGGAAGTGTTCGGAACTGGTAAGGTTAAGGACGTGTTCTGGATTGTTTAAGTTAAGGACGTGTTCGGGGCTGTTAAAGTTAAGGACCTGTTCGGAACTGGTAAAGTTAAGGAAGTGTTCGGAAATGTTAAAGTTAAGGACGTGTTCGGAACTGTTAAAGTTAAGGACCTGTTCGGGATTGTTAAAGTTAAGGACACGTTCGGAACTGTTAAAGTTAAGGACGTGTTCGGGGCTGTTAAAGTTAAGGAAGTGTTCGGAACTGGTAAAGTTAAGGACATGTTCGGGATTGTCAAAGTTAAGGACACGTTCGGAACTGTTAAAGTTAAGGACGTGTTCGGGGCTGTTAAAGTTAAGGAAGTGTTCGGAACTGGTAAAGTTAAGGACGTGTTCGGGATTGTTAAAGTTAAGGATATGTTCGGAACTGTTGAAGTTAAGGACGTGTTCGGGATTGTTAAAGTTAAGGACACGTTCGGAACTGTTGAAGTTAAGGACGTGTTCGGGATTGTTAAAGTTAAGGACACGTTCGGAACTGTTGAAGTTAAGGACGTGTTCGGGATTGTTTAAATTAAGAACGTGTTCGGAACTGTATAAGTTACGGGGGATTCAGAATCGATTCTGTTGTCTTCTGATTCCGACGCTCTATAATCGGTTTGTGGGCCTTTTTCAATGCCAATATTGCAGTATGACTGTTAATATTATAATAAAGATATTGACAGTTATTGATGACTTGTTGACATAGCTATTCAGGTTTAACATATACAATCATTTCAGCATGAACCTTACTGCGGGTGATTAATGTGGTGATGTTTCGAGAAATGTATAATTTATTATGTTAATTTATATATATACTTCCCTTGTTTTGTTAAATACATATATTATGATGCAATAAAATATGTCTATATATACACAGTTTGTGCTTTCATTCGTATATCAAAAACATTATTGGAAAGATATTTAGGAGTGAAGTGGTTTAAGTTAGATGTACGTCTAACCGTATTTGAACCGTAAGCTCGTTGTGAGTCACATAATACCACCAGCATTGAACTAAACATGGTAATGTTTTAATCGACATTTCTAATGATGATTAAATGTCATCTTGGTTTTCAAATATAGACCACAAGAGAATGTAGAGGTAGATAATCTGTAGTTAACAGAATGTATTTTAAACTGAAATTATTAAAAGGGCCATGATTTTCTGTATTGATTTTATTTTCAGGGCATTGTTTTATGCGATTCTCATCTATCCATGAAAAGAGCAAAACATAAAGCACTTTGAAAGGAAAGACCTTCAGAGTATCCCTAAGTAATGACCTTCAGAATATCCCTAAGTAATGACTTTCAGAATATCCCTAAGTTATGACCTTCAGAATATCCCTAAGATATGACCTGAAGAGTATCCCTAAGTAATGACTTTCAGAATATCCCTAAGTTATGACCTTCAGAATATCCCAAAGTAATGACCTTCAGAATATCCCAAAAGGGGTGGTCGTGATTCTGTTGAGAACTTTGCATCCTTGTAACAATTTGGTGACCGACCCCTACAAAATTTGTACACGATGTAGTTGAGAATGGCAGTTGAATGTCAATACGACCTACCAGTTTTAATATAGAAGCATGAATCGACAGGCTTTTACCATACGTTGGCGGCAATGAACTGTTTAGATTTTAAAGACACAAGTCCTATGTGACAGTTATGTTTATTCTGATGTAATACGATATTGATTATTGATTATTGATAATGTTCTGATGTGAAAAAAGTACAACAAACATGTTTTCATTACTGAACGGAGCCAGGTATTTATTGCCATGTGTACATTGCGTAAAATATTTATAAATATGTAAAAAAAAAATACCATTCTGTTAATGAATCTAATAAAACTCGCATCTATTACCATAATACACAAATTTACATTCAGAAAAACCAAACAGCACCTTGAGTTCTATATGCACCAGTTCAAGTTAAAATTTCCACATACAAGACTTAGCAGCCGATTTTCACATTGACGGAGATGTTGCGCTTGATGGGTGGTAGGATGGGAATAGCTGGTCTGAATGTACATGGCAGAACTGGTTCCTTAGAGGTCACAGGTCTGGGCACGGGTAGGTTTTTGTTGTGCTGAGGAATGGTGAAGCTGAGTCCAAGGGAGCCAATTGGATACGTGATCTCTTTTATAATTTCAGCATCAGTTTTGTTCTTATCTTTTTCCGACTGATTGTCTTTTTTCAGGAATCCGCCACGAAGTGCTTTCTTTTTGTACACGGCGGCCATCTCTGGTGGAAGCCTCCCAGAGTTGAGAAGGAAGGGAGGTAATCGAGGCTGACATTGATCGTGAATATCTCGCTGTCGAGGTTGCATGTAGATCTGCATCAAACGATCTGCATTGTTTTCAGAATATTCAGAGTCTGGCGTTTCTCGCAGATTTAATAGGAATTTGGATGGGTTTGATTCCAGTGCAGAAGAACCTGGGGGCGGAGGAGGGGGAGTTTTACGGCCATGTGTATTCTTCAACATGAGATCAGCTTTCTTGCATATGTTGAGTAAATCACAGTCCCCAGCATGCTTTGCACGCTGTCCAATACGCGAGTATCTGTCGTAGTGTTTTTTCGGACTGAATCCTGATGAAATAATTCGACTGTAATCAGTTTGTATCGGTTGCGCCACCAGACGCTGGAGGTAACATATGATACAGTGACTATTGTTTCTTCTATACGAAGTTCCGCGCCGCCATTTGATCGCGCGTCGAAGAAACTCGTCCCTGGTGTGAGAGCCGACTTTAGCGAAGTGACCACAAAGTATATCGAACAGAGCCTTCTCGGGTAATTTCTGAGAGATATCTTCTAGTAGTTTAATCTCCTCTGCTGTTGGGGTTTTGACGTCACGCTTGGCCATGTTATCCAAGTGTTCCTTGTTGGCAGACGTTCCACGTTTCCGATGCGGGTGGACGCACAGTTTGAACACCTCATTCTGATCCCCGGATTTGACTCTCTTTTTCCTAGCCCCGGCAGTTTTTGAGCTCTTTAGGTGTGGCCTTCTCTCCAGAACCTTCCGAGCGTGGTGGTCGTGACGGGGGAGATTTTTTCCTGTCTGTCCCCGGGTTAAATTCGAAGGAAGGCATTTTGCATTGGACCTTTTTTTATCTGTACTACCAGTGTTACAGACAGGGTCCTCAGCGGATTTCTGTATCTGTGATGCCCGCGGGGAGATACCTTCGACCTGGAAATCGACCTTCTCAGTAAGAAACACGGACATTACTGAGAAAATTCACAGAGCTCCATTTACCCCGCTACATTTTGGTAACTAGGGACCGGAATCTTAGACGTCATAATGATATGACGTCACAACGCCTTTGTTCATCATATCCGATGACTGGGTTTGTTAAAATATACCACAATCGTGTCATTTCAGTTTTTTCTCTGCTAAATAAAATAACGGATTGCGGAACAACGATTAATTGCTTCGTGATCTCTACAAGGTTCTGAATCAGAGTTCGATGGACAGTGTTAACTAATAAAGGGTCGACGGCTGCGAGCACCGGGGGCTCTAAATACAATATCCACAGCGGAATGAAATAGACTAACATTACGTTTATACTGGCTATGCTTGTCTGATGGTCGATTACAGGACGTTCTGGATATTGAGATTGAAATCATGATAGAACAACCAGGCCCCACTTGTATAAAACATCTCAACTTGAGATTTCCTCAGTCGAGATTTTCCTCAGCTGATATCTCCTTGAAAATATCTTGTATGAAAATTCCCCAAGGAATTTCAGGACATCCTAGCCGATGACTTCCTCCTGTTCTTTGAGAAAATTTTATACAAGCCGTTTTTAAGGAGTTATCAGCTGGGGAAAATCTCGACTTGAGGAAATCTCAAGTTGATATGTTTTATATAAGTGGGGCCTGATGTAGTAAGATCAAATACACAAAATTAGTCGAGGACAATATACTTGGTATCAAGAGGTAATATCCTGTTGTCTGAGCTAAGTGGGCCATGACGGCAAATATTTTTTGTGTGAAAACTTTTAAGGTTTTACGAAGTTTACACGTATTAACGTTTTTGATTGGGATTGCTGATTTCAGACATATGCTTGACAACTCCAGTGAATGACATGGTTGTTCCTGGATATATCATTGGACAGATATTACAGAATAAAGACGGAAGATTTACAATCGTCGAACAGACACTCATTTACGACAAAGTGCTTAAAACGAGCCTTACTGAAGACCTCATACAAATAAGCATGTTTTTTCATGAAACGCCGTAACCTGGACACCGTATCACAATTCCGGCAAGACTTTCACGGACAATGATGTGATCAGTTCTAACCACGAGCAATGACCTAAATAACAGATACCTACGTAGCGATTGTAGGTCTCTGTCGTCATCTCACGCGTAAGCTCTCGGTTTAATCAACTTCAGCGAAAGCTTCATTTTGTACATCAAATATCTTCAGAATAACGCCTTATTCAAAATAAATCATATAGAAAGCACTATTGCACGGTTTAAAGCAAAGTAGTGTGCTATAAACCAAGTAACGACAGTGTCGTCCTTGATACTCCAAGGGTTACGATCACTTCAATTTGATCTTTGACATACATCAAGCGAATCCGGAGGTCGCTAAGCAATATGTATCTGAAGTTGAGTGTCGTTCCTTTGTAATATTCAAATGAGCTATCAATCTGATCTGTGATTGGTCAGTTTTTTCTTTCCTCCTGACACCAACTCTAAACAAATAAAATTACTTAAGCTTGAGCCTTTGATTTTGCTAGGAAATGTTCTATTGGTTGGGAAATCAATAGTGAGCGTAGCCCCGAGGATGCGGCAGTATGGTAGGAGATAAATAAACAGAAACTCTCATGGTAGTTTATCAATGTTATTCCATTTTATTGTGCATGATCAAAAAAATAACATTCAAAATTAGATAAACGTGCCATCAGTAATACACAGTAATGGTTATGTGGATATATAACGGCTAAATATAAACAATGACCAAAAACACAGGGTTCCGACACACCAGTAAAACAAAATACTGTTTTATTGTTTTTTACTAGTGTGTCAGACACCTGTGATCAATGTGGAGTCGACTCACACAACAATGTTAACATACCACATCACTTAGAACTGGACAATACTCTGTAAGCTGTACTAGTGTTTAAAAAGACTAAATGCAGATTGAGAAAGACGGAGAATCTCAGAGTTACCTCCCTTATATCACACTGAAGAAACAATTTAGATACCCTTTCCCCCTCGCAGTCAAACTAGAGACCAATAAGGAGTGACTATAACTGAACACACAACCCAAAGACTAGACTAGGATTTCATGTCCTTTCTCTATCTATTCTCAACCATACCTTATTAAAACGACGACACACCGTAACAAATTGTTTACAGTGTAAACAGATACAAGTGTATTAGACACTCAGTTATGCCGATGTGACCTGACAAACCATCAGGTTCCTACTTCATTGATCAGCATCTGGGTTGATTCCTATTGTCTTATAACATGGAAAATCAAGATGAATTTAATTCTGATTAAAAGTATATTTTGTCCTAATTATACAGTATATATATATATAGTCAAAATATCAACAAAAATCAAGTTTCAAAAACAATATTAAAACTTCATATTTGCTTTTTTTTCCAAATTAAAAATATTATAATAAACAAATAGTTAACAATTCTTAAAAAAATAACTGAAATATTCCTGACGTAGAGATCAACTCAACATCTAATTAAGGTAAACATCCTCTTCAGTGTTAATCTGTCTTAGTATTAGAGAGTTCTACCCTACATAGTAAAAATCTAAACACTGGTAATTATCACATCCTTGTTATACATTTTACAATGGCAGTGAGGTGAAAAGGTTTACATATTATAGAACTGAAATGCAGAAATAAAAGAATTTCACAAAGATCCCCTAATATTGTTCTTCTCCCAAGTCTTGTCTTTATTTGTGTAGTTATTAACACTGAAATTCAGTACTGAACTCTTCAATACCAATTACTGATGTTTTGTAGTTCATATCTTCTTAAAGAGTAATGTTATATCTACGAGAAGCCATCTTCTTCATATATTGTGGGTAAAAAGTATTGAATGTTTTCCATTTTCAGCTCCTACAGCTAATACCACTTTCTGAAAAACCTGTAAATTATGAACATATTATGCATGTGACCATTCTACATGTACAAGATCACAATCCTGTTAAAATTCCAGATGTTAACAAGTTGAATGTACTAAAGGTTACAGTCTCCAAACTTCTATATGACCAAACATACATGTAGATTCCATGACATCAAGCTTGCTGACAACTGTGACATTAAACCAACAGTCAAAATCTACTACATTTAGTTCTCAGATAACCACAATGCTGTGGTCTTGGTCACTATATAGAGGTAAACTTTGTAAACTATACAGATATCCTAATACTTATCATCGATATCCAATTAAAGAGTATCTTTCAAGCATGACCAACACTGCAAGCACACATTAAATTACATACATGTAATTCTTTTGAGAATTCACACTAAGATAACGATATACAAATTTATCAAAACACTAACCATTCTAGATTGGTATCATTAAGTATATATAGTTTTGGTTTTATTTCACCATCCCAAATAATCTGAATTGTAAGAGTGAGCATAACATGTTATCTAACTTCTCTGAGAATATATGAACCTGGGTTCTGAAACAAGTTTTCAAATTCCCTGTTCATGGTGTATTCGAATATCACATTACCTGGTCATGTGAGTTAAGATATCAAACATTCTGTAAATTAAACAGATTAACAGTACGTATGTTTAGGAAATCTTGTGATATATCTTATATAATTATATACTGTATATTACTAAGAAAATGTATGACGTTATCTACAGTACAATGTGTTCTTGATAACTTAAGTCCATATAAGTTTATATTATACATCAGTATGTGACATAAGCTTCAGTATTAGAGTCATCTTACTAAATCTCAACTAGTGGGCGTTTCCCTTGATTCAAGAAGAAGAGTGTCGTTAGATCAAACCCTCGCCAGTGCAGAACATATATTATTCCTTCCCATTAAAGCAATATAACATAAAGTAAGTATGAGACAGTACTGAACGGTATATACCCAGCTAATGTTTGTTAATCAAGTGTCATAAACTATGAGATGTGTCAACATATCTTTATTTTATTTAGATGTATAGAATTGGTGTTAAGACAAAAGTCACAAATACATACAGGTACAGAACATTAGAACATGGTTTATTAACAGTTGTAGATTAGATATGAAGACTAGTTGAAGAAACACCAAGATAGTTCATCCACAACACATACAGACCTAACAAACACCGTAAAAAAGCGCTGATGATGAGAAGACAAAGACACACTGTATAAAAGCTTATAAAGAAGGTGGTAATTTGAGAAGGAATGTACGATGGAGATGTGGAGCAGTTGACCAATTATTTTGACAAGTTTGGATAAAATGACAATTACGTGGGAATACAATCTAACCGTATCAGGCTTAATGTTTCCATTACACTCACCTGAGGTCTATCCTTAACGGGACGTTTCTGACCTCATTACAGGAGAAATTATCCTGCCTACATAAACCAATCTATTGTTATCTTAGTTCAAATCTGTTTAAGAAAAACATAAAAATAATACATCCAGACATATAATGTTATGTACAACATCAGAAATGGTTGTGATTTTTTAACAGTGCTTCGTAAAAAAATGACAAAAACTCTTGGCAAGCAGTAATTGTTACAATTAATTCTAGGAACATCAGAAGCTCATGAATCAGTTTCTAGCAAGATTACCATGACATTGAGGAGGCTAGACTGTACACCCACTTTGTAACATAATCACCCCATGTCTGTTGCAAGTCACTTGTTCAGTAACATGTGGATCGGAAGTCAAAACTTCTATCTAAGCAAATTCACTTAAATTGTTGGTGCTTTCATAAATTATTTCAGTCTTCATAATAAATTTCTATCACTATCTCAGCAACAAATGAACTCTGCTTTGATTTAAAAAAAATCAAATTTGACACAAAAATGCACGAGCAGTTCTAAGACGACTTACAGAAACTGTTTTATAATTACATTTCTTATCATAATGACTATAAAAGAAATATTTACCTGGGTACTGATGTCTGAATGACAAACTGTATCTCTGTGAATAGACAATCTCTATTCCACTTAACCTGGTTAAATGACATTTTAAATTGTCAATGTAACATCCAGGAGATCTAAATAACTTCTACATCACTTCATTCTTTTTCTATTGTTGTTTTTTCATCCTTAAGATGAACAAAAATAGTCCAACTTCTTCAAAACTCACACTTGTTCCAATTCATATTTCATTGAATGAGCATATAATTTGCTTTTCACAATTTCAAAAAAGTAATTAGACAAGTTGACAATTGTAAAAACTGATGAAGACTTACTATATCAACTGAAAATCTTCATCACATGGGATAAGCTGCACTGTTATTCCATCCGTTATGACCTGATGTGATCTCTACAAAAAGCCTCAAATTAATCAAAGGATCAAAAATCTTTAAAGCCAATTTCTACATCTAAGATGTTACTGTTACACCTTTCTACCAGTCTATACTTGTGTACAGAGAAAAAAAACCTGATAAAATAATGATAAATATGCATTCATTTCATTGTTTCCTGTTTACGTTGTTATTGAAAAACTGCACCACCTGGTGGTCGTAGTGAGAGAAAGGGGCAGATAACTGGTGTTGATATATAAATATATATCAGGGAAGAGTCAATATAAAATTTGTGTCATATTAGATGAGTGCACATAATCTCTTCTTCTTTCGTGGATGTTTGCCCTTTTTGTCTTTCTGTAAAGAAAAGAAAATTACAATGGATTTATTAAAATCAAATGAGGACATCCAATATATGAAGCCTAACAAAATTATAATATTTAGAGGTTGTTTTCTCAACCCAAATACAAATTAACATAAGTTATCTCCCTTGGTCATAAACAATTTAATATAAGCTTTTGAGCAAGCTTCAATGAGTTTTATTTGGTTGAATGGAAAGAAATGTAAGGTTAGTAATGTTAATGCTATACAACATGTTTAACTAGAAATCTGTTCTTTTTCATCAAAACATCCTACCAGATCATAACAATAATTTTCAAAAAATGACAATCTATTGATGATAAGACTTCCAAGTCATTGATGTAGAGGAACATGTCGCTGAAATAGTCTACTCAGGCTAATTAAAAATTATATAAAGATATACAGGGAGTCAGTACATAACTCCGAAATCTTTCCATCCTTCTAAATGTCTTTTATCCTTATGTACACAATACAATTAACTTTCCTGTTTGATGCTTACTTAATGTGAGGAATATAGTATTTAGGACACTTACATATAGCCTTATTTCGCGTACTAGGGAGTAGAAAGCGTCATCAACCCCCTGACGTGTCTTGGCAGAAGTGCGTACATAAGGGATATTGTAGCTATTGGCCAAAGCCTTGGCATCCTTGTCCTCAACCATGTGTTGTTCCTGTAAGTCCATTTTGTTTCCTACCACTGAAGTGAACAATACAATCTCTTAGTTTAATCAGTTTTTCATTCACGAAAAAAAAAAAAAAAAAGAAAGAAAGAAAAGAAAAAAAAGTGGTCATGCAACCTAACTCAAATGATTCCTATAAACATCAAAACATTGAAGGTTGTGGATGCTATGAATAATAAATTGAAATAAAGGAACAATGGAACTGGTGTATCGGCAGAAAATGACTAACAACTTCAAAATCTATAAATCTGCAAGGAAATGTAATTGATGTAATAACTAACATTGATGTTTGTTTTGACCGATAGGAAATATTAAGGAAGAAGTGGTGTAATTATAGATCAGATTCAGTGAGAATGTAAACTTTCTCCTAGAATATTGCTGTAGGAAACACCCCTGTAAACCACTCATGTCAAGATTCATGAATAACTTAACTTGGAAAAATTATGTGATAAAATCAAGCTTTGATACTTTTCATCTGTTCAACAAAAACACCTGTTTTGTTTTACCAGCCTGTCATGAATAGCTATTTTTTGCAAATTAATATGTCAGAATGTTTTGATGGAAATATTTGCATGTCAATAGTCATGCATATATCCACTATATTTTTAGTTTTCCACTCACTTTTCATATGGTGCAAAGAATCTGAATTCAAACTGACAGCTAGTTTTGTGATGTATTTTCATTTCTTGCAAGAAAAATGCTTTGCAGTGAAAATTGAGGCAATTTCAGTGTATTACAAACAATAAACAACTTATTGACAGTCAGCAAATCCTGTCTGTATGGTGTCTTCATTTGATTATATAATATCACTGATGCATGTCCCATGGGTGTCATAAAGAATTATATTACACATTTATACAAGTTCTAAACTAGAAATATCTTCCATTTACAAACATTTGTTGCTGAGTCACTAGTTAACAAAGGTGCTGCTGTTACACTTTAATAAGTATGACCAAGAGTTAGTCCTCAAGCTGTTTACAGTGGTGTATTGTTGTGAATGCTTTTTTTAATCAACTTCAAAATGATGGATGAGGGAAGGCAACTCAAATACTGTGTATGATCAAGAGGCTTCTTCATACTAAGCCAACAATTCAAGGCATTTTCAAATTTTTTGTAATTTTTTGTAAACATTTACGACACTACAAATCCTTTCAAATCTAATCAATCGCACTAGTTTTGACATAACTTATCAAAGTCACTGAAGCATAAAATATATCCAACACAGCTGTATCAATGAAAATAGGATGCTGATAAAACTCAAAACAGGCAAGTAGCAATCAGAAATCTGTCAGAAATATTTGCCTGTGAGATATCTCTGACAGAAATTGTCTTGCATATTGTATATAACAATGTCTTCAGTATCACATTCTATATGTGACAGGAAACACCCTCAAACTTCGATATCATATTGTTTTTGAAATATAATCTCTAACACCAGGCAACATACTGTTTTTTATTTATTTGTCTGAAACTCAGGCAGGGCAACTGTTATAAAGGACCTGTATTTGTTAAATACAAACTTTGATTCAATTCACAAAAATTGTGATGAAGATATTTCACCTTATATTAATCACTATAGTCGGCTCTGATGGAAGTGTTTGAATGGTTTTACTGTTGGTGGGAACCCGGGAAAACCCATGTGGCAAGGCAGGTGAGCCAATACCTTTATGTCTTTTCAGGTATTTAAACTCCTCCAGTTAAGTGAGAGGCGAGTGTCTTACCACTACGCCATTTGACCATCCAGACCATTCTATCTACTTCTATTTAGTGAAGACTTTTAATAATACTTACAAACCATGGGTACCTCCTCTGCATCTTTTACCCGCTTAATCTGATAACAAATTAATATTCAATTATATTGTTGTAGAACATATATTTACTTTAAATATTGTTCTTGTTAATAACATTCTGTGATGGATCCTTGCCACTATCAAAATTTGCAATAACTAAATCAAAATCTAATGTATTTTAGCATTTTCATGTATCAGAATGTTATTTCACAGACTACAAGATCCTAAGCTTGTTTCAATACTGATTACAACTTCTTGCACTTCCCATTTTTCCCCCCACACATCATCCATATTGTACAACAGTTTTTCTTCCATGGACTAAAGACTAGACATTGTGGTCATGTATCTGATCCAATGAAATGTATTTTTTTTTATAGCAGTTTACTTTTTGGATATATTACCTGCTCTTTATAGGTGTTGATATCTTCAAATGATTTGAGGTTGTTTACAGCAAACACACAGAGGAATCCCTCACCTGTCCTCATGTACTGGTCCCTCATGGCACTGTAGTAACACAGAGTTTTAGTAATGAGGAAAATGTTTACACTTTTATCAAGCAATACACCCCGGCAGGTAACACATTACCTCTGGCTAAGGGGTTAATACAGGACAACAAAGTATATCATTGAATTCTAGTCCTACTGACAGCTATAAATATTGGTGGGCTGGCTACAGGACAAGGAAATAGTACATGTTGGTAAAGCTACAGAACAGATATACATGTAGATATAGAACGACTTGTTACAAAATGATTGAAAATCATATCATTGGATGGTAGTTCTACTAAGGAACTGTTTCCCATGACCACACACACATAGTTATGTGGTATTAATATACATTGTATTTTATTTCATAATGTAATAATATTAAAAACAATCCAGACATCAATTATGAAGTATCTTATCCTATCGCAATGATTACTTAATGTGGAACCAATCCTTGGAAACATGGCTGATCAATCAGAGTGACCTCCCTTTACCTTTCATGTTGTAAGAGAACCATCAAACTTACAAGAATAGTGAGGGGGGTGGGCAGAGGCTGACAATGGGTACACATTAATGGATAGACACAGATTGACCATTACCAACTAAATGTGCCACTGCTTATGGTTTGATACCAGACTGAATACTATTTATGGGTAGACACAAGACTTACCACTCCTGTATCCATCAATGGACACAAGATTGCCCACCACTAATTGTTGGATATGAGACTGACCACTATTGATCAGGGGACACAAACTGACCAACATTTATCATAGAACACCAAACTGACTACAACTGATGAGTGAAAACAAAACTGGCCACCACTGATCTGTGGATACAAGAATGACTGTCGCTGAGGAATGGACATTAAACAGACTACTAGTGATAGATGGTCACCAGACGGACCACCATGTGGACATAATATCAATGCTAACCTGTACTCCTCTTGACCAGCAGTGTCCAGAATGTCTAGCAGACATGTCTCATCATCAATGACCACCTGTTTCCTGTAGGAATCCTCTGAAAAAGAAAAAATAATTAAATGTGCACCATTACATTAATCAAAATAACAAATCTGAGAATCCTTTACAAACCTATGACACCTTCAAACACAATGATAATATAAGTAATATAAATAATTAATGCATATACTTTGAGCTATCAGCAGATATTTCTGGGTGTGGTTATCTGTTTCAATTAATAGCAGATATTTCTGGGTGTGGTTATCTATTTCAATTAATAGCAGATATTTCTGGGTGTGGTTATCTGTTTCAATTAATAGCAGATATTTCTGGGTGTGGTTATCTATTTCAATTAATAGCAGATATTTCTGGGTGTGGTTATCTGTTTCAATTAATAGCAGATATTTCAGGGTGTGCTTGTCTGTTTTGTTCCAATTAATAGCAGATATTACAGGTTGTGCTTGTCTGTTTCAATTAATAGCAGATATTTCAGGGTGTGCTTGTCTGTTTCAATTAATAGCAGATATTTCTGGGTGTGGTTATCTGTTTCAATTAATAGCAGACATTTCAAGGTGTGCTTGTCTGTTCCAATTAATAGCAGATATTTCAGGGTGTGCTTGTCTGTTTTGTTCCAATTAATAGAAGATATTACAGGTTGTGCTTGTCTGTTTCAATTAATAGCAGATATTTCAGGGTGTGCTTGTCTGTTTCAATTAATAGCAGATATTTCTGGGTGTGGTTATCTGTTTCAATTAATAGCAGATATTTCAGGTTGTGCTTGTCTGTTCTGTTCCAATTAATAGCAGATATTTCAGGGTGTGCTTGTTTGTTTCAATTAATAGCAGATATTTCTGGGTGTGGTTATCTGTTTCAATTAATAGCAGATATTTCAGGTTGTGCTTGTCTGTTCTGTTCCAATTAATAGCAGATATTTCAGGGTGTGCTTGTCTGTTTCAATTAATAGCAGATATTACAGGTTGTGCTTGTCTGTTTCAATTAATAGCAGATATTTCAGGGTGTGCTTGTCTGTTTCAATTAATAGCAGATATTTCTGGGTGTGGTTATCTGTTTCAATTAATAGCAGATATTTCAGGTTGTGCTTGTCTGTTCTGTTCCAATTAATAGCAGATATTTCAGGGTGTGCTTGTCTGTTTCAATTAATAGCAGATATTTCAGGTTGTGCTTGTCTGTTCCAATTAATAGCAGATATTTCAGGGTGTGCTTGTCTGTTTCAATTAATAGCAGACATTTCAGGGTGTGCTTGGCCATTTCAATTTCATATAACTACGATACAAGGTGAAATATAGAAAAAAAAAAGACCATTCAGATGGCTTACCTATGGTAGGATCATATTCTTCTACGAAGCTGAAAACACATAAAAACGGAACTATGAAATTTGCAAAATGAGAATTAAACACAATTAAATACAATTTAGTAACTGTATATATTATCATTTTAATTATCAATTCATAAATTCTAAACACTGTCAACAACTTTCAAAAGATGAGGAAAATATGACTTAACATTTTATTTCCTTCTAATTATCTACTTCTGGTTCTTTGATTAATAATACAAAGCTCCACATTCTGCTGGTACGGTTATAAGCACAAGTTCTGCTAATGTTCCATAAAGTTTCTTTGTTGAAACATCATACAATTTCCTTATATAAATTTCCCTAGGAGTATGTGACTATTACATACTCCTATCAGTATCATGTTACTGGCAAACTATCGTATCACTTGTCATCCCACAGAGAAAGGTAACCAGCTGTTCATGACAGCCTCACAGGGTGCAGGAAAAGTAGATTACTTCCTTGAGTAAATAATACATTAAAGTATTGAGTAACGATAAGTAGCCATCAAAGATCTATCTCTCTACTGACCAGGGGTTCTGATATACAAACTTTATCAAATTTATTCTATTAGAATTGTTTATCACAAAATAATTTTGATCTCTCAAATTCAATATTTAGCACATATCAGAAATCGTTTATGATAACATTTAACTAATGATACCAGAATGATATACCTGAGATTGAATTAAGATATTCATTTCAAAATGGCAATCATTGATATATTTCCATGTGGAATTAAATCTGAAATCAGATTCCTTAATCAAAAATATTTAGTCATATCATTAGAGACAATGTATATTCATCAGATTCTGCAAGATGATGAGAATATCTTAATTATCTGTGAAAACATGTATGTTGATATCTTAGTTTCAGCAATTAATTGTGCTGATGATTTCTGACAAAATATGATTGTTCTCACTGCCATTTCTGCATGTCAGAAGAGTAATTATTATGAAGCACAAATTTATTATTGCGCTTATTTGTTCCAAAATTAAAATGTGCTTGTGGCAAAATTAGAAATATGTTTTTAATATATCAGACTAAAAATGAAATTATCAAAATGGATAATCTGTGACACTCCTGGAGATGACATGCTAATGTATTAACAGGCTATCAACAGACAACGAAGATAGAAATCTGTAGTCTCAATCAAATTTCTGCTACAAAGATCTGGTATAAATGTCAGAGATCATGATAGTGGGCGTCGCCATGATCATGACACGTCAGTTCATTACAGCAATACCTACTCCAGTATTGTCCACTACTCATTACTGTGGCCGTAGCTGACCAATTCTACTGAACCAATGCTCTAAATCCCCTCATCAATATGACTAACTTCAAAACTAGAGTGGTGTTAACTGAGGTGCTGACATGTGTTCAATATATTCTGCCCACTGACCATGGTCAAGATCTGGTTATGTCATTTTTTACAGTCCAGTCCAGTTTACATCAACTGTAGATCATGGTCATGTCGAAATGTTCACATTGTATAATGAGTCATTGAGCATCTGATAAGTGTGATTATGTCAAATTCTTTATTTCTGAATGAAGGGATAGGTGTGTTCAACTGTATTCAAGAGGGACTAAATGACTCAATACAAATACACCAAGTCAGAGGGGGCTGACTTCAGGGAAAGTAACAGGAACTGTGAAAATACTGGAATAAGTGATAAAAGGATGAAATACATTACATGTGGATTTACTCCTAATTATAACTAAAGCAGTTCTAATTAGTTTCTGTGTAATTCAGGGCGGTATATCACTTATTATATGTCTAATGCCTAGACAGGCTAATCGCAACTAATCCCCAAATTTCTGTCAATAATTTTCCAGCGACATTAAATTATGTATTCTCTGTGTTAAGCTATCATAACTCCCTCAGTAACTTAATTTCAATCTATAATCAAGAATCAGGGGTAAGTCAATACACTGTCTATAAAACAGCACCAGACTTGTTTCCCCATAACATCTGATACAAGTGATAACTGCAGACCTCCCTCTTCTCTGTCACATAGTCCCTCCCCACTTCACACTACACTTAAATTACAAACCACTAAAGGTGAGTAATGAAACAACCCAACTTTGAAGGTTAACACAAACTTTAGAACATTTAAAATTTTTGCAAAGTCATATGTGGTTTACGATGATAAAATAACCTTCAAAGGAAACCTTATGAGATTAACCTTGTATGTGTAGATAACCTTACATATATCCATTGTATATACAAGCAAATTTAAGGGAAATATTTTTTTATAAAGACACATGATTCTTTAAGGTGTATGATGCGTAAAATACCTGATTTCATCATCATATATCAAATTGCAGTATTTTTCTTAATGAATAATTATAAACTATCTTTTTTTTTACTTCTGAAACTCTACAAACACAATTATCAGTATATCTTCGACTTAAAAACAAGGAAGAAGAGTCAATCACAACAAGCTTGATTTTAGTAGAATTTTCTTTTTTCACAAAACATTTATGAATATAACTCGAACTTTGGACTTCTTTAAGATGATTTAATGATTTTTTCCCCTGAAAATTAAACTGATAAACTTAATATCTTATAAAACTTCTTTGACTATGCATACATTTGATTATACATGTGCATGTATTATGACACTTTCAGAACTCATATGAAATGTTAATTCTATTTGTATGTACCTTTCAAGACTTATGAATAATTAATTGCAACAGACCATTACATTCATTGATTTTTGTCTCCTAACTATATCCCTGTGTATTATGAGGTATTGTCTACGGTAATATAATGGAAGTGCGGACAGAATACTTAATTAAATTTAGCATTAATGCTAATGACCCATTCTGGGGCTAAATTAAAAACGCCCTACTGATCAGCGAAGACGGAATGAAGCTGTATCAAATTACAAACCAAAGGAACAGTGATCATATCCATATTTTCAATTTTAATGTTTTTTTAAAGATATCAACACTGAATCAGCCATGAAATCATGACCTATATAGATGCAGGCATTACATATGAGATTAAAGTTCTTAGGAGTGTTCTCAGCACGCTGGTATCTTTTCATTTCTATAAACAAAACAACAATTAAGGCATCAAGATATTAAATAAAATTTAAGTCCAGTCACAGATTCTTTAACATACTGGGTGATTCTGTGATAAGGACTCCTTGTTGCTGGTGGCTACCTCACTAACAACATAAGGGAGGCGCCCCATTGAATGTCATCTAGAAGGTATGGTATCTAGTCCAAGGCCAAAACCACAAGAGCATAAACCGGTCTGTTTCTCACTTTTCAGTAAAACACTAACCACCGTGGGTTGTGTTGTACCACACACCTCAGATATTAACCTGAGGTCAGGAAGGACAACAAACTGAGTTTCTGAGAATAATGAACAAACTCATTCAGCTATAACCCTGACTAAAGAATGGTGTGCTAATCACCACAACAATGCAACTATTGTAGCCATTTTACTGAAATTGCCAAAGATGTAGGTGGGCTTACAGGCAATAAAGTATATATATATATATATATATATATACTTCTATGGTTTTAGTAATAAATGAGGGCTATTGCTAATGTCTTATGTATATAAAGTCAGGGTACAGATGAGAGCTTAACAAATATCTATAAGTATAAGTTCATCATGAAAATGCTGCTCTACATCCAATCACAATTAGTAACACCATGTGTAGGTACACACTTCAAACTACAGTCTCTTGGGATTAGGATGTTAGTAACACCATGTATAGGTACACACTACAAACTACAGTCTGTTGAGATTAGGATGTTAGTAACACCATGTGTAAGTACACACTACAAACTTCAGTCAGTTGAGATTAGGATGTTAGTAACACCATGTGTAGGTACACACTACAAACTACAGTTGGGATAAGGATGTTAGTAACACCATGTATAGGTACACACTACAAACTACAGTCTGTTGAGATTAGGATGTTAGTAACACCATGTGTAGGTACACACTACAAACTACAGTCTGTTGAGATTAGGATGTTAGTAACACCATGTGTAGGTACACACTACAAACTACAGTCTGTTGAGATTAGGATGTTAGTAACACCATGTGTAGGTACACACTACAAACTACAGTCTGTTGAGATTAGGATGTTAGTAACACCATGTGTAGGTACACACTACAAACTACAGTCTGTTGGGATAAGGATGTTAGTAACACCATGTATAGGTACACACTACAAACTTCAGTCTCTTGGGATTAGGATGTTAGTAACACCATATGTAGGTACACACTACAAACTTCAGTCTCTTGGGATTAGGATGTTAGTAACACCATGTGTAGGTACACACTACAAACTACAGTCTCTTGAGATTAGGATGTTAGTAACACCATGTGTACAATTCACACTACAAACTACAGTCTCTTGGGATTAGGATGTTGTTTTTATGTGTTGTAACAATTCACATATATCAAACTACAGTCTCTTTTTATGGTAGATATATACGATATATATCCTTATAAGATGTACACCATCAAATATCCTTAGTATAACATTTTTTTATGTGTATCCATATATACGTATATATCAGGATCAGTGCAGCTGTTGTGTTTTTTACTATATATCCTTATAAACTCCCTTTTTATGTTTTACTGTTTTTATGTGTATTTTAAATATATATCCTTACCCTAATAAACTTTTGTTTTTAGTAATAATGATCTGTTTTTATGTATAGTTAACATATACAATATATATCCTTATAAGCTCCCTTTTTATGTTATAATGATCTGTTTTTATGTGTAGTTAACATTTACAATATATATCCTTATAAGCTCCCTTTTTATGTTATAATGATCTGTTTTTATGTGTTGTTAAAATGTACTATAATCATCCTAATAAGCACCCCTTTCTAAAGTAACATTTTTTATTCAGTAGATTGATTCAATTTTAACCCAAATGAGCCCCCTTTTCCAGTTTCCTGCTATCAATGTTCTGTCGGACATATCCTAATTACCGTAAATCACCTATTACATCAAAGAGAAATATTACCTCTCTTTACTGAGAGTAAATGATATCCAGAAGTTAAAGATCCTCAACAACTATAACAGTTGCGTGTTTTTTTCATTAGGTTCAGATGGGATGTGAACATATTTAGATCCCTAAGCAGTCGTGAGGGCCTCTATTGTATAACAAATGATATCTGTCCAGGTACTGTGTTACAATCTGATACCTCAGGAGTGTTGGTTCTCTCATATTACCTGATGTACTGTTTCTTTTCAAATGGGACATTTGAAAGGTTCACTATCATCCTGTCATCATTCTTATTTTTCTAAACTGCCAACTGATTGTGTACAATTTTTCTAAACTGCCAATTGATTGTGTACAATTTTTCTAAACTGCCAATTGATTGTGTACAATTTTTCTAAACTGCCAATTGATTGTGTACAATTTTTCTAAACTGCCAATTGATTGTGTTCAATTATTTTTTGTTATCTTTTAAGTACATTTAGATACTGTACATTTGTAAAACATAAATCAGTATTTAGGACATCGGATTGAACTTCTTTCTTTGATACCATCAGAATACATCATTTCATCTTCAAAGTGAGGAAGTGTTCTTCAGCTGTGAAGATTCTGTTTCCTTATCCTAGACTTCATTCGTGATACTTCAGGGGTTAGATCACTTTTGATCTCTCTGCACCCCTGGTAAATTTGTTTGATGTACAACAATGGATCATACTAGTCTTTCTGTCTTGGCAACAAGATGTCACACATGGAAACTTAAATTTTATCACTACATGTCTCTGGGTTGAAGTAAAGGAAAGTGATTGTAACCCCTGGAGTATTGAGGATGTCCAGATCTCATACCATACATTTTGACGGTGAATTTAATTTCAAGACACCAATATGGAAATCCTACAAGACCTGTCCTAAGTCCTTCTAACTATACAGGGTAATCACAGATAAATCACAGGTTAATCAGGAGACACACACCAATCACATGCAGTTCTGGTACTTACTGGTTCTGTATGAGCTGGATGGTTAGAGCACTTTTCCCCACACCACCCGCTGTAAACAGACAAAAGACATGTTATTAGTTATGAAATATTAACAAAATTATCAGGTACATCACAGTGTTTATATGAAGTTTTGTGGTTGATCTGTTTTGATGACGTGGTGAAATGTACCAGCTCTCTGTTGACATTATATTCAAAGGTTCCTTTATAATTTTCTTATCATTCCAGCAAAATTTCTAAATACATGTATTCAGTCTCTTTTGAAACTCATCCACCTCCTTCTTACTCTATGTCTTTCTTTCTTCTTTTTTAACACATCGACTAATGCTAATGTAGAAGGTAGAGATGACTGAACAGCATCGTCAGAAGATATCAACAAAATCTATTGATTACAATTAATGAATTTTGTTGACATTTCCGACTGATGTTGTCCTGTCATTTCTACCTTTAACTTTGATTTCTCTTTTAAACTGGACTCTGTAATCCAAAGGAATCTTTATATATATAAATATCTGCGGAGGACTACCCCAAACCTTGGATCTCATCTTCGTTGTACAGTTGTTAGTTTTTTGATAGCAATACATTAAGCTTATAACAAAGTTTTTTTTGTACACTCATGTGTACCTGTACCTGAATTCTGGTCTATTGTTCTGACAGAAGTATATGTATATATGTACCCTATTGGGTATACATAATACATTTACCCAAGTTTTTATCTACATTGAGAAAGCCAAGCCAGTACCAGTAAAATCAGGTTTTCTTTAACATGTCATTTTCCTGTCTAACTAAATTTACAAATATTTAGAAAAACTACAGGGAATGCAGGATATGTACCTGGAGGGGAGTGAAAGAAGGTTTTGATAAAGAGATCTAAAGTTCTGTAAACAGTACTGCATAACTACAGCCAGGTAATGATCAACTCGCAAATGTAAAAAGTCACCGAAAGACGGTGATACAAATAATGTTATCAAACTCAATCGGGTAATCTCAACTGTAAATCAAAGGTACACATACCTAAATATGTACATCAGTATGTTTGGTTATGTCACGTATGTACACATCTATGTTAACAATATTAATGTAGTGTTTGTTCACTGCGCAGACATCTCTATTGGGCTAGCTCTCATTACCAACCTTGTCATTGTCAAACAATCACAGCTTTAAACTCCAAATCTCCACAAATCTTGAAATTTATTAATGTTAAGAAAAGTGACCGTTTAGTGAAATTAAAATTTTCTCATTTATTGTTCTGCAGTATTTTACAGAGAAAGGATATTCAGGACTAAGCCTTTGTTTTCTGGACGATCCTTTAAGGTCAGCTACAAGAGTATGCTATTGAAAATATCAGATTTGGTGGTGTTCCTTAGGTAATTTTGGGGTTAAAATGGGAAGAAGGGATGTTGGGAGGGGTGTTGTAAATTAGACATTATGTCATAATTGATAAATACTTACAAACTCAATGTCTGAATAAAAATTGTGCTTTTTGTATTTTTTACTACATAAGTACCATATCTAAATAATGACTCATTTTCACATGAAATAGTCATCAATTACTAAATAATATTAAAAGATTTTCTGTTAAATCCGAATTTTACACTATATGAGGAAACAGATATGAATTACGAATCTTGAGTGTTGTGGGTTACAAAAGAGAAAGTAGAATTACAAGAATAAGTACTTTTCAAGGTCATGACCAGTACAAATCCATCTTCAAGGAACAATAAGTAAAAAAAATCACAAATTCCTATGTGAACAGGTTTACTACAAATATTCCTGTCTTCAATGTTCACCAACGTCAGTTATGTATCTGGTGCCATGGTAACAAGAAGAGGCCACTTAAAAGTATCTACCTACATAGATATTTCTGTCTGTGATTTATTTAGACAAATCACTGTCATAAATCTCTTACATACCTACACAAAAAACATTTCATCTACAAAACTGTCCGTTAACAAGTACCTATAATAGTTATAAAGTATTGATGTTTTACAATTTATTTTTGTAACTCTGATTTCAAAATGGACATATGAACAGATGGGACAAGATTAACATGCATCTAAATAGTCAGCAAATCTGACACTACCCCGAGCTCCCCTTAACTGTCGAAGAATCAACAGGTAGCTAAGTGTACCTCCCTATGGATTTTGCATCTCTGTATTCTGTAAATTTCATTTTCTAAGTAATTCCACATACAGACAACATTGTAAAGAGTTACTGTTGATTATATTCAAATTTCAAATTTGAACAATTAGGATTGTGCACTATAAAGTAAATTCTTCCTGGTATTAATCATGTCAATAATAAAACCACAAAGTAATTACCGGTATATATGAGTTCTTGGATTTTTTTTCCCGCTAGTACCAGTGAACTTGATCTTTGACATTCAGACTAGAAAGCTGGCAATGGAATGTATAATGTATAAGTTTAGTCCCTACAAGGTTATTTAGAGAACAGTGTAATTTTTTTTCATACCTAAGTGGCAACATTCAACATGACCTTTGAACCTTAGACATCAGCAATGCTAAGCAATCCTGTAAGCAATATGGACACTGTCAGATTAAGCACTGTATGACCTAGTGTTGAGATTGGCTGGTCTATTTTTAGAGGTGAAAACAGAAAAAAAAATCTTTTAAAAGAATGATTTGTTAACACAAATACAATGAAGGTCAAACAAAAAGACCTCATTATTATTGAGAAATTAAATATTCCTCATAACGGTTTGAAAGTCGTTACTTCAGACATTGGTAACTAACTGTGGTAAAGGAGTCCAATCCTGTTGCTGCTGTCAGTCTATTGTATTTACATAATATGTAAATGTAAGTACTTGAGAATGAGTGGCATATCCCAGCAGACATCCCTAAAAACAGGAAGTGGTCTACCTGATCCTACTTCACTCAGGTCCAGAATCATATGTGATGTTAGGTTACAAAGTAAAAGTATATGACAGGTGATGGATGGGCAGGTCACAAAGTACAGTTGCTGAAAATCATTCATAAATACATCATCTGAACTTTAATGTTGAATTAGACTTTTAGAAACCATGTTTAGATACAGTTTTAAACATATATAACTTCAAAAATGAATAAATAAATAAGCTGCAATTTTGAGTTCAAAATGTGAACAAAAGTGATGTCATATTTGGAATCCATTTTTTTATCCGTAACAAATCACAACAGTACAGTATTCAGTTCAAAGGTACTGGTTTTCTGTACAATGCAGATCAAACAATGGAAGAACAGATAGTTGATTTGGTACATCTTTGTCATATGAATAATTCCACTTTTATACTGAAGTACTTTTCTAAGCATATCTTACCAGTGGTATGATGGTGCCTGCCTCTTGGCCCTATTATTTTTTCAGATCTGTATCAAAATCAGACAATGCACAACTAGGGACCTAGAGGAATATACACATGAAATTACAAGTTCTTTTCAAGAGATAGTGATAACAAACAACTGCTGTCACAATCTAAGGTAACTGCCTGCTGGCCATTTTGTTTTTTTCAATCAAAACCCAAAATTGTTGGACAATGCACAACTAGGAATGAACAAGCAGAGCCTACACATGAAATTTGAAAATGTTTCGTTCGGTTTTTCTGAGGAAACAGTGATAACAAGAAATATTTAAGGACAGATGGACAAAAGATGAAGGCAATTTGATCAGCCCATGATTTGGCCATGGTGAGCTAAAGATTAAAACAGTATATTTCCATTAAGAAAATCTGTTCCCCTTGATTGTGTTAATATACAATTGAGCTACATGACTATTTCAGAAGAATATTTAATAAAATCCAGATTAGTGTAAACAATAAAGAGTACCTGTTAAAATCACCTTAAGTTTTAATTGACCTGTAGCTAATTAATCATTCTTCTTTATAATTTGAAACAAATTATAGCATCCCATTGACTATCATTTTCAGTATTTATCACTTATGTGATTTCACATTCAAAGAGATATAGATCAGGGTTACAACACCAGTTAATTATCATTTCCGTATTTTTGAAAATCTTTTCCAACCCATTGCCTCTTTTAACTAGGTTTTGAAAATGTTCTAAAAGTCAAACCTTTTATCTAATAATATACTTCTCAACTGTAGAATATTAAGGTAACACACATTCTATAGCAAAAGTTTATGTAAGTGAAAAACTGGTTTTCTACTTAAATCATTGTACTATCATTGAGATACCTAGTATATCATGGATTTTATCTGATTTGACTCACTGTGATAATGTTTATGTAGATCTACTAGGTGAATCATACTTGCTTCATCTGACATACATTTAAACCAAACAATTCTAAGAATTCAACTAAATCCAGCTTCAGCACCAGAATAACTCCATCTAAACTAATTACAAATTAAGAAAAGAAATCCTGAAATTACTACACTATTTTATCACCAAGATATAAATAAATTGTAGGAGGGTGAGTGTGTGGGAGGGGTAAGATTATACTAGTTCTACAAAAAATTTATTTTAACTCCTTTCACTGGGAAAGATTCTTCAAATGGATTAACTATTTCTGTCAGTGCAGGGATGATGTATCTGGAAGCACACATGCGTATCTAAGTATAAAGGCTTGTGTATATTAGATGTTGAATAACCAGTTTTTGTAAAGTTATCTTGCACGAATTTAGGTTAAAAGTTGGAAGCATTTTATCAATTACCAAATTTTTGGCATTTTTGTGGGAGAAGCTGAGGAACACAGCATCTGTATCAAGTGTCAGCTGACACAGGTCTGTCGACCAAATCCTGATTTGTGTGGGCCTGGATCTGGACGTGACCAGATTCTAGCATATAAGTAGTACAATGTACAAAATGTACTCGTATTTCCTACACAATTGAATTCTAGTTACAAGTGTATATCAACACAGCTGTTCTAGTAGGATATTTTTTCTTAGTGTTTTCAAGTTGCCTTATGTTAGAAATATGGGCAAAGGTTTTGTAGGAGAGTAGATAACAGCTGAGCGTTATGATTTTTTTTAAAGACATTGACTTGAAGTAACACAATGTTTTATGAAATTGCTACTAGTCAGGTATAAAACTACCATAAAAG